ATTGTAAAAATAATGATATTTTTAATAAAAATGATGATTGCCCCTCTTCACAGGAGGTGATGTTAAATTATATATCTAATAAACATTGCAACAAACAACAAATTCCAAAAACACGTATCCTCTATTTTTGTCCATAGTTTACGTACACGAAGTTGCAAAAAAATAGATCAACATTTAGTGCAAAAATTTAAACAAAAATGATAAATTTTTTAAATATTATTTAAACAAATAAAGTTTCTTGAAATTTTTTTTCGCACAAAAATTTCCTATCCAAAGACGAACAATTTACCAAAAAAAGAATTCAATTATCTTCTTTAGTTCCGGAGATATTCCTAAAAATATGGTTTCAACCCCCAACTTCGAGGGCTATTTTCACCCCTTCAATATGCACGATTGCCGATAAAAAAAAATACGTGTCAAATATTTTTTTGAGAACTATATCTCACGTAAGTTTCATCAAAATCGGCGTGTGTCGGTTGGATATGTTCCCTTGTTAGTCAAAAACAACGAATTCGATACGGTCCCTAATAAATTAATCTCTACAAACATTCAGAATGAAGCTATGTTTATTCTCTGGATTCCCAAACTTTCCCAAGCATGAACACCCACGTCGAGTGGCTTTAACAATATAAGCTTTGTCTATTGTACATGATCGCACGCTCAGATAGTTTAAATTTCGCTCTTAATTTATGGTCATCGATATAACAAAGTACAGATGTGCTCTGTAAATATTCTCACGGTCGTGTCGCCATACTACACTGACTATATTCAGGATGATAACAAGTACGCTCGCGTTACAACTGCAAGCAGACGTGACGAAAAGTGACAAAGGGTTAACAAAAGCTGATGCTTATTTTGACATCCTATAGTTACATTTCCCTAGATTTGTAAGGTTTGTGTTTATTTTTTTTTTCAGTTAAACGCATACCAAGTTTAAACTTCGAATAATAAACAAAAACGAATAAATTACGAAAATGAGTAATTCAACTATTTCTGATCAATCACTCATGGACAAATCTATGCGAAGTGTCTTCGGTAAGAAAATAATTTTTAAATTACTCTACCCGTAATATGATACATAACCTCTAAATATGCGTAATGTTTTTCAATAGTCGGGAATATCCCGTACGAAGCTACGGAAGAGAATTTAAAGGATATTTTTAGTGAAGTTGGACCAGTGCTTTCATTTAAGTAAGTTCATTTTTGATCTTGTATATTAATTTTATTAGAATCAGTTTTGTTATCTTTCAAATATAACCTTGCAGTCTACAGTATTTTCATATATATTCTTTTTATAGTTATAAATTGTTATCCATGAACAATTATAAAATGTTCTTTGTAAGTTACACATATGCGTACACCTAAAAAGCAAATAATTAATATAAAATTTCTTATTTCTAGTTTAAACTTATTTTTCAAAATTATTCAGTAGTGAATGATTTATAGTATATTAAAATTAATATTAAAATTTAATTTGATATTACAAATTTTGAATTATTTTAAATAGATTAGTATTTGACCGAGAAACAGGCAAACCTAAGGGATATGGCTTCTGCGAATATAAAGATCAAGAAACAGCTCTTAGCGCTATGAGAAATTTGAATGGTTATGAAATTGGTGGAAGAACATTACGTGTTGATAATGCTTGTACTGAAAAGAGTCGAATGGAAATGCAGAGTCTCCTTCAAGGGCAAAATACTGAAAATCCATATGGAGAAGCGGTGCAAGCAGATAAGGCCCCTGAAGCTATAAGTAAAGCTGTAGCGTCTTTGCCACCTGAGCAGATGTTTGAACTTATGAAACAGATGAAACTCTGTGTACAAAATAATCCAAACGAAGCACGTCAAATGCTACTTCAGAACCCCCAACTAGCATATGCTTTGCTACAAGCTCAAGTAGTGATGAGAATAGTAGACCCTCACACAGCAGTTAATATGTTACATAAAGCAAATCCAATTCCAGGTGTGTTAACACCATCTGAAAAGCCAGTTGCACATCCAGTTGTGCCAAGAATTGAACAACCATGGGCTCCTTCGTGTCCAGCCCCTGTTACAAATCCACCAGCGACAATATTTGCTGGTAAATATAAAAAAATACTAAAAGAGCTATAATATTAAGGACAGACATTGTAACAATAACTGTTTAAAAATATATTAATATTTGTTTAACCAAATACTGTAATTCTGATACAGGACAAGATGTTGATCTGCGCACATTGGATAGACAAATGGATCCTCGTTTAGCTAGAATGGATCAAGATTTACGAGGTCCCCAACAAGTACAGCCAACACCTGTTAGTGTACCATCAGTTGCAACTGCAACTACAGACCCTAGGGGACTCAACACATTTAATGTTACAGATAAGTTAGTATTTGGTTTATTGGACAGAAAATTTGGCACTAATATAATTAAAAAATTTACTCTTTTTTACAGTGCACTTCCTGTTGAAGGAGTTGAGAGGTTTCATAATTACTTTAGATACTTTTAAACAGTAACTTTCTGATATTTCTAAAAACATTTTACTTTTTTTCAGTTTCTGTCGCGATCCAAGAACAGATAGATTTGGAAGAGATCCTAGAGATCCCAGGGATCCAAGAATGCCTATTGATCCCAGAATTACCAAAGCTAATCGTAAGTTTTTGCAAACGTAATTCATTTACTAGTTCTTAGAAATATATTAAATTAATTTGAATTTTCCTTAGCATCAATACCAGTAGCATCACCGGTGGTACCAAGACCTGTTGCTGCGCCAACTGTTCAACCGTCGAATATTGTAGCAGGTACTGTTACAGCTTCTGCTGCTGCATTAACAACATCTGCAACATCTGCAACTTCAAGACTTATGGCAGGCATGTCTCCGGCTGGAAATATACCTAGCGGAGCATCTGATCAAGAGAAGGTATAAATAATTACATTATAATTACATATCAGTCAAAGTATCATAAAAATATATCAAATCGTACAATAATTGTGAGTACACTTAATAATACAAGTATAAATGTAACTGTTAATTTTATTACAGGCGGCTTTAATAATGCAAGTACTGCAATTATCAGATGAACAAATCGCTATGTTACCACCCGAACAAAGACAAAGTATTCTAGTGCTTAAAGAACAAATTGCTAAAAGTACACAACGTTAATATCTTTTTTTAAAATAAACGTATAAACCTATCTAAAAATACCAATATTATATTATATAAATTTAATCTGGTACAGTAAATAAAACTTATAAAAAATTATTCCTTGTGTCAGTAATCGCAACTTAATAACTCTGTGACATTAGAAATATAAAATAAACATAAAAATATGAAATTTAATAATTTTGGTAAAGATTAATTTTTACCATTAAAAATAACCCTATATCATATAGAAATAAACGTATACTAATGCTTGATTATAATAAAATCCGTCATTTGTTTTTTAATGTGAATAAACCTTCTTCGATGAGCGTCTTATACAAAAGTTCTTTACGTTCCTCATTATCATACAATTCAATATGCATGAATTCTTCGTCGATTTCCTGAAATAATTACTTTAGTAAATAATAGATCATTTGTAACCAATTATTATCATAAAGTAATAGTTACTTTGATTGTAGCTACAACACGTCTGTTATACATTTCTTCTAGCTGATTTAAAAAACTCTCAAGATTTGCTGTCGGAACACATTCAATATTCCATAATTTGCATTTAATTGCCATAACTGGTACATTCATCCATTCTTTTTTCAATTCAAATAATTCACACCTATTATGTGAACAAAACAATTAGTTTTTAGTTTTTTTGTAGTTTCAACATTTATTGAAAATAATAACAGGCAGATCCAACTGGTTACGTTACATCAAAAACAATTTGAGATTATAAAAATATAACATACTGGTCAAAATGTACTGTTCTGTATTCGCAGTTACCATAATCGACATAAATCAATTTAATTTCGGTTTCACTTGAATCTTCAATTGGTTCAGATTCTACTATGAGGCACCTATACCAAATATCGTCATTGTATTTTGCGCAGCATGGTGTATCTATAAAAGAAAATTTCAGTACATGCACTACCGTGTAGTCTAGTGGTTATCAAATATAACTGATTTTGCAAAGGTTTCTAGATATTGGATTTAAAAGTATAAATGATAATAGTACTCACTAGGTGTAAAATTTGTAATTATTTGTTGTTTAGACGCATTTTCTTGCAAATCTTTCATTAAAAGTTCATACTGTGTGTAGTAATTATTTAAAATCTAGAATCAAAGGAATACCAAAGTAGACATTTTTACATATTATTTACTTCAGTAATATTTTTAAATTTAATATTTGTTACATATTCGGATTTAAAAATTACCAGTTTACAACTTCAACATTTTTTTATTAAAGTTTGGAAATTTAAATTTGCAAATTTGCAAAATTTTAGAGAAGAAAATCGACCTTATTTAAAAAGAATAAAATAATTCTGATTTACATCTCGGTAGACTGTATTTAAATGATATAATATGTATATTTTTTTTTAAATTAAGTGAGTTCAGTTTTTACAAAATAATAAAAGTATCGTAATGTTAATTTGTTATTTACTTGAATGAAGTATCAGTCATTGTATATTAAGAATATTGAGGAACTATCTATATAATCATTTCTTATGCATATTTTGTAATTAAAGGATATCAGACTTTGTTACGAAAGTGTTATCTAAGGTAATATACTAGTATGTGACCATATTAACAAGATGAATAATGTACCAAATTATATTTGCGATACATCCTAGTATCAAAAGTAAAAAGGAATTATAAATAGTTTTAAAGACTAGAATATTACATTTGTAACGTATGTGGAAATTAAGAAGTGTTGCTATAAGCACATACTATGTAGAAATTTAACCTTTTTTAAACGTCGTATTGTTAAATGGATTTTAAAAACTTAATTTTTATACCCCTCCTTCAGGAATTGCTAATTTTAAAAATTAGAAATTTAGAAATTAAAAGTTTTGAATATTTTAATGTTTCAATTTAAAAATCTCAAATTTATGAATTTTCGAATTACAGCGAAAAAGTTTTATCAAATATGCTCTGTATTAATTTTTATTGCATACCTCTGAGTGTGAGTTGTTTTTTAGATGAGCGTAAAATTCAGTTGTACTAATACTGAAGCACAGTTCTACTTCTATGAACTCTGTATCTTGTGGTAGCTCGATCAATTTGTAATTCATCGAAAGATTCTCTTCAGAAACAACTTGTGGTGTTGAAGTGATTATTTCGTCGTTTATTTTACACCATGATAAATTTTCAATATCAGTTGTATTGGGACTTTCGTTTTTATTGATTGTAACCGGATTTAAAACCAATATGGAATTTCCACTAATAATCGCATCTTTCATTATTTCGTTATCCGAACAAAAAGATTTCGAATTTTCTATAACTATATCCGGGGTGTCTGTTGTAGAAACACTTTGGTCGGATACGCTAGTGTTAACATTATGTTTAATATTCATTTCCCATTCCTTTGAAAGAAATGTAATTAAATCGCATCTATTTTTACAATATTTGTTTGGAAACATCATTATAGAAATCTGAAAAAGATATATAATATATATAGAATTATATTATTGTATACTATCGTTACATATAAATATGTTTAAATAACGTACATCCAACTTACAAGGAAAGGCACGCAAGTGTCCCCCTCCGATTTTGATGAAACTTCGTAGGTTTGTTAAGCAGGCAAAAATAAGGGACACGTATTTTTTTTTATCGGCTGAGACGCGGGTTTAAGGGGTGAAACGAGCCCTTAAAGTTTCGACCCCTTTTGGCTATCTCGAAAACCATACGAGATACATTAAAACTTCTAATAGAAAAGTTGTATGGTTTCTTGCGTATAATAACAAGATGTTAACCAATTTTGCAAAATACAATTTGTTTATAACAAAAAAATTTTTCATAACCTTATTTTACAATTTATTCAAATTTGTATAATGACAAAAAGTGTAGAGAATTTTATTACAAATCCATTGGTATATATATATACGATATTTCCTCCTACAATTCCTCAGATTTTTATCATAAAGGTTCGGGCGCGCGCCCGCTGACGCTCCACACTGTACTCAATCGGATGAAGTCGGACGATATTACACTGTCAGTCGACATTATTTATAAGCATAAATGAGAAACAATTACATTTACGTTATACATAACTGTTAATTTTATTAAATATGTATTACAAAACATTTATTGTTAAAGTACATAGGTATTCTATGTATATGTCAATTTTATAGGTAACTAATAGTTTGAATAAGTTAGGGAACATAATC